TAAATACTCCGTTTATAATAAACAGTATTAACTACATTTGAATGTCCGAGAAATTTCATAGAAAATATGTCTTTCGACTGGAATCGAACCAGGCGAAATTTGTTGTTTAAAAACATAATTTGTGCTTTGTTCACTTGATGCTTCATCTGTAGTTAAATGTTATAGCACGTCATTTCGTGTAGGATACTAGTTCGATTCCCGTCGGAGGAAATAAAAATAAAGAAAGGAAGAAGACAGACAATAGAAAAGAAAATATCTAGACATAAAATGTGATTGAGGTGTAAGAAAAGAGAAGAAATCAAGGGAGATAATGATGTTATCAATGTTATGTAAACCATTCCTATGTAAAAAAAAGATACGTTTACGCTTGAGATATATTCGATGAGCTGCATTGTCTGAATGTCCAATCCATTGGCTGAAAGTGCGACTAGAAAATTTCTTGGAGGGGTCAGTGCAGAAAATCCATTGCTGCAGGCACTGAATCGTCTATCCGTGTTTCCTAGAAGTACAAACGATCCTTCTTTCTCCCCTATTTCTCAAAACATTCCCGTCTGTCTTATCCATTCTCTTCCGTTCTTACACGAGTAACAAACAAGCGCCAGTTCCATTTGTTTCTTTATTTTCTCACAGCTTGTTTCCTATACTTAATCGCCTTCCATTTTCTTTTTTTATTTGTCTCTATCCCAATTTCGTTCTGCGCAATGCAAATATAAACAGAGATTTTGCGTGCATTATGAGAAATTGATTCCAAATTCAACCTCGACATTTCATCACATTTCTTGTCTATAGCATCAACCGAATCCTTCATTAAATATTTCGCTTTCTTTATCCGCCATGTTGACCAAAGTTTACAGACGCCCTCATTCGTTACCATTTTTTCATTTGCTATTTTTAATGCATTTTTAATTTTCATTCGTTTTGCATATTTTTTTTTCTTTTCGTTCTTCTGTTTATATTTGTTTGTTGATGCATTTTTAATTCACATTTCTATTCGGTCTTTTTTATTGTCATTCACTTTTTACTTTTAAGATTTTCAATTCGTTTCTTTCATTACGATTCTTTCATTTTTTTAAATTTTCTTTTTTCTTTGTCATTTAATTCTTTTTTTATTCCTATCTTTCTTTCTTCATTTCTTTGATTTATTTCAATTAATTACGTTTTCGATTTCTTCTCATCATTTGGATTTCTTTTATTTTCTGTTTCAATTTTTCTTCCCATTTTGTCTTTCATTCTTTTTACTTAATGCATTCTCTAATTGTCTACTCTTTTCCTTCTTTTCTTTCTTTCTTTCTTTCTTTCTTTCTTTCTTTCTTTGTTTCTTTCTTTCATTCTTTCTTTTGTTCGTTTGCGCTTTCTTTCTTTTTTATTTCTTAACCCATTCCCTATTTGTCTACTCCTTTTCCATTCGAAAAATTTCTCTCCATATTCTCTACTTTCTTTCTTTCTTTCTTTCTTTCTTTCTTTCTTTCTTTCTTTCTTTCTTATTTCCATTAATTTCTTTTACTATTTTTTCTTATCATTAGTGATATCCCCCTTTTTTCCTTATTCTCTGATTTCAGCCTTTTCCCTCTTTCTCTCTCCTCGTTTAATTCATCTTCATAGTTTCGTTTCTGCTTACAATTTGAAATATTAATCCTCTTTTATTATTTTAATTTCTAATATCCATTAATAATGTTTTGCAACATTTTGTTTCGTCTTCTTTATCTTCCACTTAAATTCTCTTCTTTTGAATGTTCCTCATAAAAGACAAGACTGCTATATTATCAACACTTATCAGACTACATATACAGATATAGAAACAGTTATTTACTAGGTACGGCTTAGTTTAGGGGCAAAGTCATTAGATACATACATACATACATACATACATAAACAGCACATTTAAACATTATATATATATATATATATATATATATATATATATACGAGAAACATTGTTTTTTTTCCGTTTTACATAAAATAAAGAAACAAGTAAACAAAGAATATCTTTAATCCATTAATATCCACCATATGTTTGTGATGATGGGAATCAAAAAATTATAACTAGAAAAACATTAATATCAGATTTTAATTTTAATAATCGAAAAAGGATTTTAGGGTAGGCCTGAATGTTTTAATAAAATTTACTACGAAGAAACACTATAATTTTCATTTGAACATTAATAAAGTTTTTCTTCTTCTTCTTCTTCTTCTTCTTCTTCTTCTTCTTATTATTATTGTTATTATTATTAACTAAATTCTTCATATTTATGGAAAATCTTCTGACATTTGTATTAGACAATTGAATCATCGGACGAATGCTTAAACAGAATGAAATCCAAAGAAAGAAATCTTCAACTATGTCTGAATTAGGATTCTAAAATAAAAGACTCGTATCACTAAAACATTATTGTCTCCCCGCCTCCACCGAAAAAAAATATCTTACAATCAGAAAATATTTTCAGGCTTTAAATAACCTGCAAAAGGTTGATAAGCCGTAGAAAATGAAATCAATCATGCAATCAATAAAAAGTTTAATTTGTATTTCATACCATTTGACTTAATTGATTGTAATATTTTTCTCGTCCCTTTTTTTTGTTTTAAACAGTCTGCTAATATTCGGCCGAGAAGGTTATATATATATATATATATATATATATATATATATATATATATATATATATATATTTAAAGATATTTTTGTAGGTACAAAATTTAATGATCGAAATAAAAGTGTAGGTTTTCGGGACTCGCCATATGCGAACATCTTTTAAATAGCAGAGATTGTTCTGCCAAATTTAGTGTCGACTGGTTCACCGTGTTGGCCCGGTCACACTCTGTATTTCATCTGAAGGTTCTGGAGGCGCTTTACATCGGGTCCCGCAAACCTTCTTTGTGCAAACAACGTAAGTGTTTGCTGGGACTCGCTGTCATCTGCCTCTAGTTCCTTCTTGCATATATACAGGTATATATATGTTTTTTTTTCCACCTATTCTTATTGTACATTTCTCTGTTTTAATTTTTAATCTCCCGTGGAAGCCTGATGAGCAGGAGCGAAACCGGTTGCTTCCACCCCTTGTTTTTGAGTTTTTTTTATTATTTAATATTGTTTTAATATGTCTTGTAATATTAAATTTTACACTTTTATTTCGATCATATATATATATATATATATATATATATATATATATATATATATATATATATATATATATTATATTCATTTTCGTTTCATTTTGGAAGTGCTATCTCATGATCCGGCGTCCACGTCAGACCCTACGCTAATCAGTGTCCAGATTCATGCTATACCTAAGTCATCCCTGATGTACCGTTCCATAGAACGATTTTTCGCTATGCAAAGGCAGACTGGGACAACGTTCGATCCTACATGATGGAAACTCCCCTCCTAATCTTCTTCAAGCATACAGTCTCAAAAATTGCGGCCCATGTTTGATTGGATCCTTTCTGAAATGGAGAGTTTTATACCCACCTCCCTCAAAAACAAATTCCAGCAAAAACTAAAAAGCCAACCCTAGTTCACCACTGAATGCTTCGCAGCCATACCTCACCGAAACCATTATTTTAATATCTATCTTAAGTGCGAAGTAGTTCGGTCCTCACTGCATTCAGAACTGCCTGCAATCGTTGTAAAAAAAAAGTTCTAGAAAATGCCAAATGCAGCCACACATGAGCAGTCCAGACCAAGGTGGAAAAATGGAGAATAAATGTACGTAACATATAATTTAAAAGCGGACTCAATACAGAGTAGAGCTAAATATTATTTATTTATAATATTAAAACTTGTTAAAAATCGTTACATAATTGCAATTATGTTTCTACACCACAAATGTGTCTCCTCGGGCAATATTAAACAACTGGCTACTGGCTGCCAGCACCGGGTTAAATACTATAACAGACTGAACAGCTATAATACTCTTTATGAAATTCAATGAATATCTTTAAATTTATCACACAGGTGACTTGTAATATAACCGCCAGTAGTTTTACATCGCCCGAGGAGACACAGTTATGGGGGCGAAACATAATTGCCATTATGTAGCGATTTTTAACATCTTTACTTTTAATATCCTAAAAGAAATAATAGTTAGCTCTAGTACTGGGCGCTCTTTTAAATTAAATGTTACGTACAATGGAACTATCTCCATTTGTTCTCATTTTACCTTGATATATATATATATATATATATATATATATATATATATATATATATATATATATATATATATGTGTGTGTTTGTGTAAAAAGGAAGAAATATAGTTTTAAAGTGCGCTATATTTATGAGATAAAGTGCTCAATATCAGAGATAGAGCATATGTAAATATATATATATATAAAAAGTGAACATTGAAGTCAACACTCAAAGGCGACAGGCTGTTTCATGCTGGACGCAACCGTCAGCCTGACGATTGCATCCACCAGTGTTGACGTCAATGTATATATATATATATATATATATATATATATATATATATATATATATATATATATATATATATATTTATTTATATCGACTATTATTTCAAGTCTGATAAACATGGCTATACCCTGCCACGCTGGCATATGACGTGTTGGCAGGTAACTTAAATTTAGCGTTAGCCTTTCTACTAGACTAGCTGTTCAATCTGTTCAGCTATTTAACCCAGAGCTGGCAGGCGCATAATTTATATATTCATATAACGTATACACCCTGTCAGTTCTGGGTTAAGTAGTATAACATATTGAACATCTATAATAGTCTTTATGAAATTGAATGTATATCTTTGTATTTATCACTCAAGTGACGCGTGGTATAACCACATTTACGGATCAATTTCAATGAAATGTCTTTATTTAACTACACACGGCACATTAACATCATGCATATTACTGAACACTTTCCGACATTTCTAGGTTTTCTTTATTAATTTAACCCAAGCAAGGCAATAAAGCCACTACGACGCAACGGGATACTGAATGTTAGAGTACGTGAGAAAAAGAAAAAGAATATTAAGGAGAGAGAACATGAGAAGAACAGGAATTAAAAATACAGAAGTTAACGATTGACATTGCATTTAAAATTTTGAAAATCAAAATTGACAAGCACATAAGAGACCAGAAGATAGTTCCACAGGCAAGAAGTTAGACAGAAGAAACTGTTAACATAGAACATACAGTTACATATAAAAATTTCAGTTGAAAAATAATGAGGCCTATTTACCAATCTAGTACTTCGCTTAAATTCATAAAGTCAAATGTACGAAATAGGAAAGATTATCAAAACAATTAAAAATATTTACTGAGAAGGTTTGTTTTGCTGTGTTTTACGGCATATCAACCTGAATGGATTATTTAATGCCAAGAAAGATTTTGCTGGTGATATTTTGTTTTGTCAAAAATCTGTTTCTGGTAATAATTTTTTCCTTCAAAAATGTATTGTTGGTAATATTTCTTTTCCTCAAAAATGCATTGCTGGTAATAGTTTTAATTTTTTTTTTTTTTTACAAAGTATTCCTGCTATTAAAATCCATTTTTACCCCAGTTTCGGCGTTAACTATTTGCCCATAGCTGGGGCCCTAACAGGGTGCTACCACCCCGTGTCAGGGTGGACCTGGGAACAACAGCAATTAAGAGGTGGTTCCACGCTCCCCAAAACCTCAGACGTAGTTTATCGTCTTACCCAGGACGCGGATATAGTTTATCGTCATACCCATGACGCGGATGTAGTTTATAGTCTTACCCAGGATGTGGATGTAGTTTATCGTCATAGCCAGGACACTGCTGAGAAGGCATAGGGAATCTAAGGCGGTGGTAAATTAAGGAAACCGAGATATCAAGTCAGGACACATAACATTGCTGAAGCAACAGAATTTCGGTAGGTATATATCCCAATTTGTAAATACTGAGTGTCTTACAGATTATATATATAATGACATTAATCAAGCATCTTTGAATTTCCATCATCATATTTGATACTTAACTGACATGACTGCTTTGAAGTTTCATCATGGATCCTCTGGCTTTTTTGTTTAATTCTTTCTTGTTAAAGACAGTAACATTTCCTGGACGGAGGCTAGTATGGAATTGGTGACCTCCAATCGGTATTTGGCATCAAACATCGATTTAATCGATCTGTATGAACAGGATTATCAAACAGACGACCTTCTACGGAGGCTCTATAAAGTTCTGATCCTCTAAGTGGAATATGATGTTGTAATCTTTTCAAATGCTAACAGATCAATAAATAGCAAGACGTATACAAGCATCGAACGATCAAGGTTGGTGGATTGATATATTTGGAGAGATAGAAACTTTACAGGTGAGCAAACAACACGAAAAGCAATTCGTAGTATGTTACTTTTTTTTTTCGATTGCTCCGTCAAGGGACATCAATAAGTCTGTTGACCAATGACAAAAAAGCGTCATTTAGTTGTTATGGATTTTATTTTCAACATAATCTTCTTCTTTGTCAATGTTCTTAAATCAGAATTATATATTAAGTACTGATGTTGAATATTATAAGAGAATATTTTAATAACGTATATAGCGATTAACACGTGTCAGGCAACAGTCATTCTAATCTAAATTCGTATACGTATATTTATTTAGTTTTCAACAGACACGAACGCATCCATTAACACAGGGAGATCTACCGTTAAAAATTATGCACACACACACGATCTCTCTCAAACACACACACACACACACACACACACACACACACATATATATATATATATATATAATGAAGATGTTACATACGGACAAACAAGTACTCACAAGAAAGATGCATTTTTGTTTCGATGGGAATGCATCTCGACAGGTGAAGAACAAAAATGGTTATCTGTTTCTTTAATCATTGAGCACGCTTTTAAATCAATGCTATGAATGTCTGAATTTTTATTCCTTTCATTCTCGTTACATTTGTATGTCTATCTATCTATCTATCTATATATATATACATATCTATCTATCTATCTGTCTATCTATCTATCTATCTATCTATCTATATCTATATCTATCTATCTATCTATATATAGATAGATTTAATTTAAATAATTATATTGAAGTTTTCGGTTCTTGTTTTGAAACATGGGACTTCTTATGTCGCGATTTGGAATCATATTTTTAAATAAATAATTATATATAGCCTCTTTTTGTCTGTTTGTTATCGAAATCCTCCTAAGGATTTGTTGAGAGACCTCCATAACCACATATATTCTGAAACTACATTACCCAGTGTACTTGGGTAAGTATATTTCATTTTGATCAGAGGGGTTCCGGGGGTGCACAAACCCTCCACTGAATTCTTTTTCCCTTTGATATAACTTAAATTTAAATTTGAACAAGGGAATGACTTCTATCCAAAATATAGAAGGAGAAAACCAGAAGATGGAGGTCACATGGGCAAGATCACTGAGTAAAATTGAAATGCATCATATTTCTCCACAAAATGTAACAATAATTTAAAATCAGTCATCATATTTTTGACAAAAACAATGAGACACACAGCAAGACACGAG